ATATCATCTAGTTGGAAAATCTTGTCCCACGCGATCATTAATCCCCCATTTTTCCATAATTTGGAAAAGGTATGTTAAGAACCACAAAAAGAACAACAAGCTTTAGGATCTAGAACAAAAGCTTGACAGGAACAAAAACCAACAAGACCAACAAACAGAGTAACAACAACACAAACTAGTAGCATAGTCAGAAGTCAAATGGTTTACTACACACATTAATTCTCTATGATAGTCAGTTATGCAATCACAATGTTAGTCAAGCATGCATACAAAGTTAGTAGTTAAGTAAGAATCACTAGCATATACTACTAACAACACATACAATTGAAGGTCAGATTTCTGGCCAGATGCTTTAACATGTGTGCACACACCAGGTTAGAACAGTTAGTACCAAACACACTATTTAGTATTAAGCATACTAGTCAGTAGCATCTCAACATCACTCATACACCACAAAGTCAATAGAACATAGTTTGAACACACCATTACTCCCTTTCTTTTCCTCAAACGAGACAAAGGACATAAGACCACCATCGAACAAACAACTCTGCATTAGATCTTGTAGATAGACATGATACTACGCACATTCTCCCACTCATCCTTTAGATAACAACAACACATAACTACTTATGCATACCAGATAAAAGCAATAACCTTTCTAGAATATCATCATATCATCATCTCCCGCACACACATTCAATAGCAACAACATCAAGTTGATATGAAGAGTTCCAATATTTATCCATCATACACCAGATCAAATTCATCAACTGGTACACAAATGTTGGACGTAATGTTTGAGATATATTACCCAATAAACAACTTATAAATGAAACGCAACAACCCATGAGGAATACCATCATTCTTAACCTTAATCTCCTTCATTAACCTAGGATTATAAGCTCCAGTATTAATCACTATCTTCAAAAACTGAGCATCATATAAAGCTCCATAAACTCATTATACTTCAGTGTAATTTCTCCCGGCAATGCATTAACTTAAGGTGTATGTTGTTAGATCCCAATTTAATTGCTCCAGACATTGAGTTAACTTAACGTGTATGTGTTGGATCCTAAGTTAATTGCTTCGGGCTTATTGAGCATCACTGTTAAGATATATCTTTTTACCTGATTAAGCTGTATGTGTTGGATATCGAGTTAACTGCTCAGAGCTTTGCGTTAACTTATGAAGTTCTTGCTTGGAGTTTTATTGGACGTCTCTAGGGTCGTGCCCAGCCAAAGTTCGGTAACCCTTCCCCTAGGTTAAAACCTGGTATGAGGTTAACAAGTCGCAGACCTGCTTAGGCTCTATAGTAGCTAGATACTAAGAGGGGTGTGTCGATTATAGCCAATTTAGTGATTTCATCATTTTCTTTGTGGTTGTGATTTTCATAGTGGGGTTTTGTTTGTAAAATTAAATGAAATTAAGCTAAATTGTTGGATTTGATTATGATTTAAAGGAGGAATCAAATCTATTTACAATCATGTTTTTCTCTCTCTTTATAATCATGCTTTTTTTAATAATAAACCAAATTGTACTCTTTTTTAAAAAATCAAAGAAAATTACTTGTCATTAAAATAAATGTGATTTATATCTTGATTGTACTTTATTTTAAAAATTCAAAGAGAATTAAATGTTATTATTTTTGTTTGAAAAATACTTGAGTATGAGACAAAACACACGATCAAATCTATAACATTATTCTTTATTAAAAATACTTGATTGTACTATTAATTTGTTTTTTTAATTAAAATTTAAGATTTTTACATGCTCTAAAATATATTTTGTAATTATTTAGATTTTTAGATAAAGGTTAATAAAACAAAACAAAATCAATAGAGATTTTGTAATATTTTTAAACTTATAAAATTATTAAAACAAAACAAAATATTTTTAAAAAAAATGATAAATGCTAGTAATAAAAAAATAATGATGAATAGTAATCATAAAAAAAACAATGATAAGTGGTAAAAGACACTTATAAACGAAAAGATCTCTATGTTAATATAATTATTTTTATAAACAGGAATAAATTATAAATATTTTTATAAACGGAAATAAATTACAAATATTTTTATAAAAATAATTGATTTAAGATATATTCAATGTTACCTTTTTACTTTATATATATTATTTATATATATTATTGTTGTGTCAATATTTATTTTAAATATTATGTAATTTTGAAGGTTATTTATCATTAAATATATTTATTATTGTTACGATGGAAACTTAAAAATATATGTTTATTTATAGGTCACAATTATTTTAAAATAATAGAAAAATCTATTATCTATTTATATATTTTATTTATAGGTCACAACTATTTTCAAATGCTATTTTTCAATACATTCAGAAGAAACTCAAAAGTCACGAGAAATAAGTTGAGAATTGAAAAAGCTCTCTATCTATATTAGGGGAATTGAAAAGGTATTTAAGATTACTTTATTACTTGAGAATTTTAATATATTGGATATTTGATATATGATTATTATTTGTCAATAAAATATCTTTAATATTATCAATTAAAAGTTTAAATAGTCATAAAGTCTTTTAAAAAAATATCTTTGATATATGATTATTATTTTCTAATAAAATATATTTTATAAACATAATTAAATATGAGACATATATTTACCACTATTGAATAAATAATTTTGAGATGATACGATAAAATTTAATTTCATTCTAAAAACATATGAATAATTTAGTTTTTGAATTTAAAATATTTTCACTATAAAAGTAATTTTAAAGTTGTCTTATTAATTTAGTGTGATTTGCTTATACCATTATTTTAATTTTTAGGTGTTAAATACTACTAATTTTTTTAATTATCATTTAAATGTTCTTATTAAAATTTGAGAATCTTAATTAAAATAAAATATATTTTGTATAATAATGGTGAACTTCAAAGAACTCAAATAATTTAATTATTCAAAAAAGAAATATTTGATTTAATTTTATTATTTATTATTGATATGCAATTGATTTCATTTAATTATATTTCATTAATTAAATATATTGATAAAATTATTTTTAAAATATGTATTTTTTGTTTAATGTATCTAATCATTAATAATAATTAATATTCGTATTTAAATAAAAATTTATAATATTGTTTCAATATTAGATTTTGATAGAATTTGATATTATCAATAATAAATTTATATTAGTAAAAAATGATCTTGGAAGATTAAAATTTCATAAAAAATTAAATGTACTAGAGCTGTTTTTATTTATGGTTTTTTTTTATCTTCCTCACATTTTTTGATTTAACTATTAATATTTACATTAATAAATATTAAATTATTATTTTTTAATTTACCTACTTATAATTATTCAATATTTTTAAGAATAAAGAGATTTTTATTTTTTTCTCTTTCCTATATAAAGTTTAATATTTGATTTATTTTATTTGTTAATTGTTTCAATAATTAAAGCATGATTCAACTTGTAAAATTTTTAAAACCGACTCTTCCTTTTTACTCAAATCAACTATCCTTTGTTCCCATTTTTAATCATATTTTCTTTTTAATTGTTATTATTATTATTATTAAAGTATCGATTAAAAGTTGAATTGAATTATGAAATGAATTATATATAATTTTTTATTTATCTATTTATATCTACAATAATAAATATTAAATTATTATTTAATATTGTAATTGATGGTGTATACAATTATTTTTAATAATATAGTAGCTTATGATTTATTTAAATAAAAAAGAAAAATATCCTACCATTATTTTATTCTCTAAATATGTTTAATTTCTTAATTGAAATTATTTTTTAAACATATAAAAAAATCAAAATAAAACAAAACATTTTTAAATATTTTATAATGATAATTATGATAAAAAAATGATAATGGTAAATCATGAAAAAAAATGGTAAAAATTTACTGACATAGAAAAATCAGATTTTAATATTTTTAATTATTGATACAATTATTTTTATATTAAAAAAAATTAACTATTGATACAATTTTTTTGTAAATGAAAATAAGTTATAATTATTTTTATAAACGGGAATAAGTTACAGATAATTTTATAAACGGGAAAATTCAAATATCAATACAATTATTTTTACAAACGAAAAAAAGTTACGAATACTTTTATAAATTGACACACGAGTTTAAGGCGCTTATAAATGATAAAAAGTTCACATGTTGATAAAATTATTTTTATAAATTTTTTCAAAGGAGAATAAATTACAAATATTTTTGCAGTGAAATATGTGAGTACATTTTCTATTTACACTATATTCTATTAAATCTACACTACACGCTATTTTAATTTTATAAAAGAAAAAAAATTCAAATATTAATACAATTGTTTTTAACAAGTTAAAAATATTTTTATAAATTGTCACATTGGTTCAAGACATTTATAAATGAGACTGAGTCTGGTCATTTTAATGTTTGAATTAAGTTTGATATATTTACTCATGCTATTGTATGAATGAAAAAATTATGTCAAAAAATTATTATTGGTGCATGGATGAAGTATCATGTTCGAATATTATATATTGAATGATACTAATATATATTTTTAAATTTCATAAGTAGAAAGTGTTAATTTTGTATTTTGTAATTTAGATGAACTTTTGTTGTTAGATTTATTAACTTATAAAATTGGTTACGCTCTAAAAAATTTAGAATATGAAGAAAAAAAATTATAGAATTGACAATTGATTTTTGCAACATAACATATGAATACAGATAGGACCCGAGCGAAAGTACAAATATCCGTTAATTTATATAGATATTATTTGCACGGATCCTTTACTAATATAATATATATTTAGTAAAATTGAAATAAAAGTTTCCAAACATTCCAATAAGTTATACTCGAAAACAGATTGGGCCTAGCTAGGTGCTCCAAGCCCAATTAGACTGCAGTTAGCATTAGCACACACTCATCAAACTCAAACCTTGTTTAATCACTTTCACTCTTTTCAGTTCCCCACTCTTTCCGTCGAGCAAGACCCAACACACCATAATGTATCGCATTCTCCACCGCACCTTGTGCACCATTGCAGAGGAATCAACCTCCAGCATCAAGTCCATTTCACAAGACCTCTACAAAGAACAAAACCTCAAGACCCTCGTTGACAAGTTCAAGAAAGCTTCTGACATCGACCGCTTCCGTACAAAAGCCGGCATCTACGAAGACACCGTCCGCCGCCTCGCCAGAGCCAAACGTTTCCGATGGGTCCGTGACATTATCGAACACCAGAAGAATTACACCGACATGGCCAATGAAGGTTTCTCAGCGCGTCTCATTACGTTGTATGGGAAATCCAAAATGGACAGACACGCACAGAAGCTGTTTGATGAAATGCCTCAGAGAAACTGTAACCGTTCTGTGTTATCTCTTAATGCTTTGTTGGCTGCTTATCTTCATTCCAAGAAATATGATGTCGTTGAGAAGCTTTTTAGGGATCTTCCTGTTCAGCTCTCTGTGAAACCTGATTTGGTTTCTTATAATACTTTTATTAAAGCGTTGTTGGAAATGGGTTCTTTTGATTCTGCGGTTGCGGTGGTTGAGGAGATGGAGAAGGAAGGAGTGAAAACTGATTTGATCACGTTTAATACTCTGCTTGATGGGCTATACTCAAAGGGTCGTTTTGAGGATGGTGAGAAACTGTGGGGAAAATTGGGTGAGAAGAATGTTGTTCCTAATATCAGGACTTACAATGCGAGGTTGTTGGGGTTGGCTATGGTGAAGAAAACTGGTGAAGCTGTTGAGTTTTATGAGGAAATGGAGAAAAAGGGCGTCAAGCCTGATATTTTTAGCTTGAATGCTTTGATCAAAGGTTTTGCCAATGAAGGGAACTTGGATGAAGCTAAGAAGTGGTTTGGTGAAATTGGAAAATCTGAGTATGACCCTGATAAGGCCAGTTATTCTATAATTGTTCCTTTTCTGTGTGAGAAGGGTGATTTGAAAACAGTTCTTGAGATGGTTAAGGAGATATTCTACACTCACTGCCGTGTTGATGCATCGTTGCTGCAAGTTGTGGTGGACAAACTGCTGAGTGAGTCCATGGTTTCAGAGGCCAAGGAGATTGTTGAACGAGGGAAAACAAATAATTACTGTCGCTATAAGCTAAATTTGCCAGCAGATGAGTGAGTGATTAGTAGCTTTTGTTTGTTGTGTCCATTATTATTAATTTTGAATTCTATGTTTTACTAGTCATAATGTTGATTTGGCAATGCCTGCATGAGTGGATATTGTTTGGCAATCTGAGCTTTGTAAACTGATTGCTTGAAAATGCCATTTTCTGTATGATGATTATTGGTTCTTTTCCTTGTTTTTAGTATCAGCCCTTAAACTTTTTCCCTGAGCTGTTTTCATATGGTGATATACATGCATCTGCATGCATCTGCATGCATGGAGAGATTTAGCTTACATTACAATTTTCTTTGGTTCACCATACTCTATACCTAAAATGTAATTTGAGTATCCGGGTCTCATACAACACCTCTACATTTTCTCATCTACATTTTCTCATTTTAATCTTGTACATCCCTTGACAAGAAATTTAAGTATAAAACATTTAGCGTTGGCAAAGAAAAAAAAAACCAAAACAGCAAAAAAGCACATCCAAGTGATTGTATTTGCAACTATAGATCAAGAAAATAAAACAGCAATGAAATTTCATAGGGAAGAAATGTTTATGAACCAATCCTGGTTCTTGAACTTCAAATCCCCTCACAATTATGCCTTTTACAATGTCTTTTTCAAACCTTGTCTTTGCCGTTGTCCTTGTTTCTTCTTTATTTATGTGGTGCTTGTTTAGGAAGATAATTCATTATTGTGATTGTAGAAAAATAGTGTTGTCTGGTGCAGTTGAGCAATGACTTCCATTTTGTATGGTGTAAGAGGAAGTTTGTATGTCTTTGCTTTCCATAGAGTGAGAGAGAACAAGGAGAGAAAGCGAAGATGGAAAAAAATCTAGTTAAGTGCAGTGATAAATATAAAAGAAATTTACATCATCTAATGATCCTACGTGGACCTGCACGGTGTGCAATGTGCGCAAACGCGCATACTAGAGTTTGCCCCGAAGAGTTCAGTTGAGGATTTGTGCGCATACTAGAGTTTGCCCCGAAGAGTTCAGTTGAGGATTTGTTTGGACATTATATTTGGACAACCTATTTTCATATTTCCTAGATATCAATCGTTTGAGTTGTATGCGCAAATAGTGCATGCTAGAATTTTTCCGAGAGTTCAGTTGAGGATTTGTTTGGACGTTGTATTTGGACAACCTATTTCCATATTTTAAAGAAATCGGTCGTTTGAGTTATTTGGGATTATTGTATCGCACAAATTGTCTTATGTTTTGTGAACAAACAATTTAGTCTCCCCTACTTAAGTCTGCTGTCGCAAATTTGCAAACTCCTCAAGCTACATAAGATTCAAATGTGTGTTATCGTTATTTATCTTTCTTTGGTAATATTTTAGAATGAACCATGTTATTTTTAGCTAATTTTTTCTCTTCATAACACCCTTGGCTATACTATACTTTTAATGAGTATTTTTTATATCACAAGCCAAGTAAATATTAACACATATTTCACCAGATTTTTTCATGAAGTTTCTTCCTATGACTCCCTTTTATACCTTACACCCTCCATATTTTAATAATATATAATATTCATGTGCCTTTGTGAAAATTTAAGTCAAAAATCCAGACAAAATATCCGATATAGGATAGAGCAAACTAAAAAATTTGGAACCTAGCAAAAAATTCAGTATATGAAAAATCCGGTGAATCGGTTTTTTCAAAATATTTGGAATGTTTGGTTAGTATTGTTTTTTTAAAACATCAGGAAGTTATCGGATATTTTGTTCATGAGTGGAAAATTCGGTAATTATAAAAAAAAGTGAAAATTGAATGGTTGAGGTTTTGGCGACACTTTTGTACGGCTGTGATTGCACCAACAGTGTTATGTGGTTCAAAATGAATCCAAAGATGTATAAATATGGGTCACCTGCTGTTGACAAAAACATCCCAGAATTGTTGGGAATTCACCAAAACCTATGAAGAATTCCGTTGCAATCTTGACGAACAAGATTCAATCACACCGACCAAATCCCCTCTTGTTTTTCACTGTTCACTTAAGTGAATCAGCTAACCTTGGTTGCAAGATTGTATCACTGCACAATGATGATGAAAACAAGAAAAGAAAATTGAATTAGAGAGGAAGAAGTTTAAGGTTTTCACAAAATAGGGAAGAAGAGGAATTTCTATAGAGCAACTCTCTGTTCTCAAAACTGCAGTTTTATTCAGTTGAATCACATTACAATAATAGGGGTTGCTCCTTATATATAGAATCCTTATAGCTTGCTAACTAAGCAAAACACAAAATACCTAATTTTGCTAACACTACAAAACTACGCCCAAATCTAAAACCCTTTCTTTTTCACATAATGTGTCGAAGTCTTTCAACACATATTCTCCACCACCATCAGTCCTCAGAATTTTAAGCTTTCAACCGCTTTTCTTTCGACAATAGATTTAAACTTGGCAAATACCTCGACCATTTCACTTTTCTTCTTGATCAAGTAAGTTTATAGTTTTCGACTGAAATCATCTATGAAAGTGACAAAGTATATGTTACCTCCAATCAAATCCACCTGGATAGGTCCACACACATCAAATTATATGACTTCAAAAATTGCCTTCGACTTACTTCATACATTCTTGTTGAAGTTGTTCTTATGTTGCTTTTCCTGAACACATTCTTCACACACTTCGTTTGGAATGTCGATTTTTGGTAAACCTGAAACCAAATTTTTTCTCTTCGGATCTCTAATTAATGTCTTTGAAATTGAGATGGCCAAGCCTGTAATGCCACATCCATTCATCCCTACTAGATGCAATTCCAAGACACATATGCTCAATCACATTAAGTTTAATCTTGAAGGTTCTATTCTAAGACATTGGAGCCTTCAAGATCAACCTTCCATTTGAGTCAAGAACTTTCATCATCTTGTCGTCAATAGAAACCTTGTAGTTCTTTTCGACCAAGAACCTTATGCTGAGAAAATTACTCTTCATGCCTGGTATGTACAATACATTGGAAATTACTGACCTCTTGTCATTTTTCCTCATAATCAGAACATTACCAATACCTTCAGCTGCTAGGGTATTGCCATTTGCAAATTTCACCATGTTCTTCATTGAGGGTTTTATGTTGACAAACCAAACCTTCATACCAATCATGTGTGATGAGCATCATGAGTCCAAGTACCATTGGTACTGGAATCTCTCTTCGTGTCTTGTTGTGACCATCAACAACATCTCTTTTTCTTCATACTTTGCAAACTTTGCATTATTATCTCACTTTTATGTTTCTCAGGACAACCACTATAGTAATGACCATACTTCTGACAATTGAAACACTGAATGCGACTTTTGTCGGGTTTTCGACCACCACCTCTTCCTCTACCTACAACACCACCTTTTTGGTTGCTTTGGTATGAAAGTTTTCTCTTATTCGACCAACCTCCTTCTTGCTAACTTCGACCAATCAAATTATTTTATCCTTCTCTACCTTTGTTGTCGAACCACTTCCTTTTTCCTTTCTTTTCTCTTGCTGATTGCGCCTGCAAAGCCTCATCACTCTTTGACTTACTTGTAGCTCTTTCAGCCATTATTTTTTCATGAGATTCAAGTGTCCCTTGAAGCTCTTCCTTTGTCAATGCTAACAAATATTTCGACTCTTCAATGGTTACTACCACGTGGTCGAACTTTGGAGCCAATAACCTCAAGATCTTTGCAACAACTGATCTTGATGTCAACACTTCTCCACATATCTTAATTAGATTCACCAGTTTTGTAACCCAATTGAAAAAAATCGGTTATGTTTCTATTTTTTTCATCTGAAGCAATTCATATGTTCTTTTGTGAGTTTGTAATCTGACCTCTTTCACCTTCTCTACACCTCCAAATGATTTCTCCACTGACTTTTTCGAAATTATCTGGATCAACGCATTGATGGATTATAAAGAGAGCTTTATAATATTTCTTCTTCAATTCTTTGTATGCAGCTTTTTCTTCATCCGCCACATTTTGTGCAAGCGGTGTTACTCTTTCGTTCACAAGATCCCAAAGATCTTAATAACAGAAAACCACATTCATATAATTGCACCAATTCTCATAATTCTGACCCTTCAGAATTGGGAGACTTGCCGAAAAATGCCCGCTTGGATGATTCATCGCCATCGTATTTTTCTTCCCACGAATCACTCATCCAATGCTCTAGATACCAGATATTGGGAATTCACCAAAGCTTATGGAGAATCCCGCTACAATCTTGATGAACAAGATTCAATCACACTGACTGAATTTCCTCTTGTTTTTCAGTGTTCACTCGAGTGAATCAACTAACCTTGGTTGAAAGATTGTATCAATACACAATGATGTTGAAAACAAGAAAAGAAAATTGAATCGGGGAGGAAGAAGAAGTTTAAGGTTTTCACAAAATAGGGAAGAAGAGGAATTTCTGCAGAGAAACTCTCTGCTTTCAAAACTGCAATTTTATTTAGGTGAATCACATTACAATAATAGGACTTACTCCTTATATATAGAATTCTGAAAGCTTGCTAACTAAGCAAAGCCCAAAATACCTAATTTTGCTAACACTACAAAATTAGGCCCAAATCGAAAAATCCATGTCGAGGCTACTCCTCTGACACTTCGATAACAAAATAATTTTAACACACATTAGGATATTAGACAACTTTCTTGCCTCTTTCGAGCAACTTGCTCCGACACAAGGAATTACAATTCAACAAGAACACCTATTCCTCAATTTTTGATTAAGGTAGATGTAACACCCCAAATTTAATCGGAATATTTTAATTAATTTATTTAATTGAGAATATTCGTATTTTTGGTGTTTTCGGTGGTTTTGGGAATTATTGAGAAGATGTGCATGTTGGACTATTTATTTAATTAATAGTATACTATATGAGAATATTAGTATTATTATTATTAAAATGAATATAAGGAAAATAAGGGTAAATTGGGCATTATGAAGAGTTAGTAAGGGTGTTATGGGAAAAGCCCAATTTGTGAGGCCCAAGACTAAGTTAGACAAAATTGAGTTCTGAAAGGAAATCAG